GCTTTTGATAAAAGTTTGAAACGAGAAAAGTCTTTGGATGATTTGGATACACCCAAGGCTCCCGTACAACGACGGAAGAAGAGCCGAGTCTCCTTTCAACCCATTAGCATCAAAGTGGATGTGAGTTTAAATTTGTCAGCTGCTCCCTGCTGTTTTATTCTTGTTTTCCTTATTTTAGACCGAGTCCGATTCTGAAGGGTCTTCGTCAATGTCATCTAGCCCTACCCATTCGATACTGGATGCTCACGATGTGGATCACATCGCCGATGGAGCACTTTCCGATTCTGAAGTGGATAGGCATAGAAATACGATTGACCCGGTATGTAATTATATTTTTTTGTTTTTTCTACTCTTTTTTTCCTCATTCAGAATTGATGTTTTTTATTTTGAAATTAAATTGTTCCTTCTAGCATGCCAACGATGTGACGGACTGGAAATGGGGTCAGATTCCCGAAACACGAGAGAATAAATTGAAGCAAGAACAAGCTAAAGCTGCTGAGAAACCAAAAGTGAGTTAGCATTTATCTCTTTTTTAGAGAAAGTCATGGCTGGCTGTTTAGGGAGAATCATCTGGATGGACATGGTTCCCATGGGGTCATCGTTCATCACCCGCCCCTGCTGCTCAACCAGCCGAAGAAGGCATTTCGTTAGATGAGCTTTTTAGCCCCGATGCTGCCTCGGATCCGTCCAAAATCCAGAAGTATCTTGGAAAAACGAATAGCACTGCGTGAGTACCTTTTAGGATTTTTCTCCTAACTTTCCATTGTCTTTTTATTTTCAAAAAAATTTATGCAAAACACCTGTTTTATACCTTTAATTCAAGCCCAGTTCATTTTTCTTGTCTAAACATCTCCAAATTGATTTAATCGTGAAACTACCATTTCCAGGGTTAGTATTGACAGTGGACATGCATCACGTGGCCCATCGCAACCTTCAAGTCCCTCAGTTGGAATGGAAGAGCCGAATTTGGCGGATAAGGTAGTGATTAATTTCGTCAACATCTTGCAGCATCCTTGATCAATGAATTTTTAAGACTCCTACCCAAGAAACCGCCATCGCGACCGCTATCGAGCATGAAAATGAGCGAACACGGAATGTTAGTGATGGAAGGAGTGCGGTTAGCAGCGAAGATATATTGTGAGTTTTTGGGATTTTTCTTCTTTGAGTTTTGATTCATTCTGTTCTTGTGAGACTTCTGTTTTTCATATTTATCAAATCTGTGGTCATCTATCATTTTTGTTTCAGCCCATTAAGCGAGGATGAGATTGAAGATGTCAAGGAGAAAGACGCAGAATTGCGGCCTGCATATATGCTTTCTCTTCGATTGTCTTCTGAGAAGTTAAAAGCTCTTGGCTTAGTTTATGGTGCCAATGAATGCAGGTTCAGCATTACTACGAAGTTCCAGGTTTGTGGACTTTACTATCTTGTTAGTTTATTATTTTTACGGATCATTTTAGGGAACCTCATGGTGTAGTTGCAATATTTATCTCTATAAATGGTATGAAAGG